TCTTAATTCAACAGGGTGAGCTCCACCAATTCATCAAAAATGCCCCAAGGAAAAACACCGGGGAGAACACCGATAAAGAAGAAGGGGACATCGCAACAAAGAAACACATACAAGCAACACACTTACACTCCCTTCAGGAAGCTCTGAGCCCTCGACATATGGGGGAATTGAGAAAATGAGGCACCCAACAGAACAGGAAAGCCTTCGGGGCAATCACCACAGCTACTCCTTTTCCCTCAAGTACCTTTCGGCAAAAGGAGTGGGGGACTCCTGATGGAGTATATGGCCCAGGGACCCCCGGCCCACATACTTCCTCTACTACAATCAGGCCCAACAGGCCCAAACGGGCCAAGCCCATCAAAATGGAGCTCTAAGCAGCCCACAATACGCAAAGGGGTGCCTTCGGCCCCATGGCCGAAGGCTACCAGTGACGGAATCGAGCTCAGAAACATCACAGGAGAACAAGGCTTGAAAACCAAGCCTTCGGCAACTGCAGCCTTCGGCAGGTAGGAGCCCTCGGTTAGAAGAGGCATCACAGGAGAACAAGGCCTGAAAACCAAGCCTTCGGCACCTGCAGCCCTCGGCAGGTAGGAGCCCTCGGTTAGAAGAGCCTTCGGCCCAGCACCCTTCAGCCGAAGGCATCCACCTCGACAGAATATCCTCTTCACATGCGCCCGGGTCACCGTACCAAGTACAAACGTCACATCCAACCACCGCATTTAATGCGGCCACATGCGAGTGCCAGTGCCACCGCGGTCGAGGTGACCCCTCGACCACCAGAAAGCTGACACATGTCCTTATCTAGCATTTATCACTACTATAAATAGCACCCCTTTCCCCCATTGTAAACCACACTTAATACGTATCGAATATACACTATCTCTCTTACTTATTTGCTCTGACTTCTCTCTAGTTATTCTCCGCAATAACCCCTCGGATAAGGTACCCCCCGGGTACACTATCCATCACACCGTTTGCCCTTGCTTACGGTTTCCAGGCCAAGGTTCCAACAGAAGTCCTGGTTTTTAAATCTCATCTCAGTCATTAGCTTCAATGAACCACGACGACATGGGTTCAGAGGGTAGAATCAAAGCTAATGATTTGGAGGTGAGTCTCCATTTTAGCTATAGGCAGGAAATGACCCAAAAAGGGGATCCTACTTATAGTTTGAAAATGGACATCTCAAACCCTTAGTATGGATGATCCGGATCGGAGAAAACCGGACGGATTGGCATCAGAGCTATAGGTTTGGAAGATGGGAAAAACAGGAACTAGCATGATGAGGAAGATAATCTGAAAAAATGGATCTTTATTCTTCGGCACTACCGGCCGGGAAATACAAGAGGATACAAGTACAAAGATTATGCTACGGGAGGATCCCTGGTCGGGGAAGAAACAGGCTGAAAATGGCCAGGCTTGCACATCATTTGGCTCAATCTCAGACGGATATGCCCAATATTTTTATGCATATGGATCAGCTTCCTATTTATGTTAGACGAGCTTATTGGATGGATTATTTTGGCATTCCTTCACTTAGATGTAATTTGTTGTTTTCTTTTCTTCAAGTTAGGTTTGGTTCCCCCAATTTTGTATTCTTTTCATTTCTTTTATTACCTCCGTCCCACTCAACTTTGCCAAGTTGATGTTAGGTGGGAAATTAGAATAATAAAATTTGTATGATTGATGTTTGTGCAGATGAGAGAGAAATGAACAGAGACATAAAAACATTGCTTTAAAAGGAAAGTGTCAAAGTTTTTTGGGACAAACAAAAAAGGAAAGTTGGCAAAGTCCAGTGGGACGGAGGGAGTAATAAAAAATGGTAAATGTCCCCTGACATTTATCTAATGATTTTTGTGGTTGACCTTCCGAGGGTAAAATAAAAGAATGTTTGTGTGTGTATATATGTATACAATTAAGGGGGTGTTTGGATTTTATTCTGATTCTGTTTCTTTTTTAAAGCAAAAGCAGAATCAGAATCAGTTTTCAGAAATTGATCATCACAGCTTCTAAAAAATCTGATTCTAAGAGTAAATTAGAGCACTAGAATCACTTCTGCACTTTTACCCAAAGGAGAAGGACCAAAAATGCCACTAAAGTTTTTAATGAATCTCATATTGGACACTTAGGTTTTCGGTGGACCAAATTAACACATATTGAAGCTTTTGCATTTATTTTTAGCCATCCACTGACTTTGGAGTTAAACGGGCATTTCCCAGCTAACAAGACATCATTCCCTGCTACGGAGTATTAAACAACACAACCTAATTTTGCAACCCTAACTCATTCTTCATGGCATGATAACAAGCTCCCAGCGACTATGTTGCTACGATGAAGGTGTAAGGTATTTTGTATTTCTGTTCGTGTTGCTTCAAATCTATAGAACGAGGGAGATGGGTTTTGAAGATTAAACTACAGTACATTAATGGGGACGTTTAAAAGCAATGGAGTGGAAAGAAACCAATCAGCACAAGACAATTGATAAAGAAGAGTCAAATGAGGAAGGGTTCTTCTGTCCACACTGATCTGGCTGAACCACCCCTTTAAATATTTGGAAAGGGAAGAAAGCAACCAGCATTGAACGAAGATTTACATGTTGTATTTAAATACTTTTTGGCTTTTTGGATGTTATTATAGCAGCCAGGTTTTTGGTATAGTAGGTGGCAGCATTAACTTTGGTACTTGTGGGATGATGACCAAGTTATTTCTTTGGAGTGTTAAATTAGGGCTTGTGTGGCATTTTGAATTTTGTAACCTCATTAACAACTCATAATATTATTTGTAATGATGCTAAGTAATATTATTACTAATTATATTTAATATTGATTACTTTTCAATTTTCTGTCATAACAATACAAATGCTAGTACTTCATAGTATCATGTGTTTATAAGCTATATTAGAAGGTTTGTTTATAGTCTGGTATTAGAACACTGTATGACAGATTATGAACTATCATTAAGCTTTTGAAATATGTTTAAATTTATATATTACTACTTCATTAAGCTGTTATTAAGCATTACTGATATATTTATAACATGTATTCAATTAGGTGTTGTTATGTTGATAGCCTTACTGCTGCATTACTAATATGCAAAAAAGGTGTTTTTATCATGTTTTTCTTTTGATAGCCTTACTGCTGCATTTGTATTGTTAAATATATTACTGGTGTTCTTAAGCATTACTAATATATGTATAACATTTATTCATTTACGTGTTTTTTGTTAATATGCATTGGATATTCATTAAGCTGTTAATAAGCATTAGTTATGATATGTTGATAGCCTTATTGCTGCTATTTTGGAAAACCGTTGGCTCATAATTTGTAAGTTGTACAAGTGATCCAACAGCTTCACAACTTAATAAGCACTGAAGTGCTTATTAAAACTTCTCCTCACACATTGTGCTCAGTTAAAAGGGAAAAAGTGATGAGGTATTCCTTTCTAGTTTAATGTTTTCCAGGTTTGAATCAAAGATGATAGCAGTCCTTTAACACCTTTAAATAAGCTCTTATTGAGCTAAACAACACCTACCATTTCTATACTTTACATCTTGCTCCACATTCATTACCACTCAGGAATGGTATAACCAAATTATAAGAAAGCAAACACACCCATCTATTCTCACAATTGAATTCCAAAAAAAAAAACAAGTTATATCATATACCAAAGTAAACCAAGTACAACAGAAAGCATTTTACAAGACGTTTAAAAGCATACATAACAATACAACAAGGACACACAACAATACTACAATCACATAGTTCCTTTTTAATTTTGCTCCTCTCTCCAATTCCAGATGCTCTGCAACTTTAGTACGGTTAAGCTCTTCAACTTCAAACTCTAGTTTTTGTTTTAAGGTATCATCATATCCCAACAATGGTGTTTCATCAAACTCCACCCCTGCAGTATGGCCTCCCCTGCACGTATGGCCTCCTCAAGTCCCAATATTATATTGTGAAGTCTTCTGTTCTTCCTTTTTAAATCATTGATAACATGTTTGGCTTATCTGTCACAGGCTCATCATGCGATTCAAAGAATCCGCATTCATCCTTCTATAAACACAAATATGAAAAAACATCAAATGGGGTGAGTGGCACAATTTTTAAAATTTCAAATTTAAATAACTAATAATACGGGCAACCATAGAACCTGGATTCTTATCAATCCATGAAGTCCAGAGTGGAACTTTCACACGGATTCCATTCGGGTCCCTAGATTTACAATATCTCGCCCGTCCAGAATATTGGTGTTCAATATTGCTTCAAAACTTGACTGAATCCAGGGAGGATGATTTGTGTTTCCCAAACAAAGAAAGATGGTGATACCTCCTGTATCCTACACTCCTATCTCCATTAATGTTTGTCTTGGACCCATAGTGGCATGTTGATCCAGCAAAAGGGACGAAGTCCAGAATCACATAAGTCGGCGGCACTATCACTTCGGAATTCAAGAATTGATGCGAATTCAAGAATCACATAAGGGACAAAGGGCATTAAAAAATTGATAATTGATGTTAGAGAAAGGGATACCAGGAAAAGACGGTCGAAATTGGGCTGCTTCTGAAGTTTGATGGTGTTCAATATTGGTGCTCTGTAGAGCTTGATGGTGAAGGACTACCTCCCATGGCTATCGTTTCTCAAGCAATATGTCTACATAATAGGTGAGTGATAAGAATTAGGGTTCTTGTGTATGTATTTATTGGGGTGTCGTTTAATCGCAGGGAATGACGTCTTTTTAGCAGGGGAAACGCCCGTTTAACGGCAAAGTTAGTGGATGACTAAAAATGAACGCAAAAGCTTCAATATGTGTTAATTTGGTCCACTGAAAACCTAAATGTTTAATCCGAGATTCATTAAAAACCTTAGTGTCATTTTTGGTGTTTCTACCTTTAACCAAATACTCGAGAAGGTTTTAAGAATCAAATTAAAGCACCCTCCAAATAAACTTGTCTTTATTACGTAGTATTAAACCCTTCAGGAGTCCAAAGTCCAAACACAGCTTAAATTTCCCGGAGGATCTCTGTCGGGCCGTTATCCCAAGAAATGTCAGACCGAGGAACACTTGCTATGGATGACGACGGGGAGGAGCCGCCGCTAGCCGTTTACATAACAGCCGTTGAAAGTAGTCAGCCGTCTACCCAAACAAGTCTCCATCTAGAAACTACGGATGCCTCTCCAGTCGGCGTCACCGTCATCACCGGCTACCTCGGGTCCGGGAAATCGACCGTAAACATCACTTTCAAGACCTCTTTGCCTCCCTCGAAATATGTGATCTTGCTATTGACCATACAATATTTTATGTCTTCTGACGAGCGTTTGAAAAATTTCAGCTGATAAATTACATATTGAGGGCGCAACATGGGAAGAAAATAGCGGTGATTTTGAACGAGTTCGGGGAGGAGCTTGGAGTCGAGAGAGCGATGATCAATGATGGAGAAAGTGGTGGTCTTGTGGAGGAGTGGGTTGAGCTTGCAAATGGCTGCATTTGCTGTACTGTGAAACATAGCTTGGTTCAAGCTTTAGAGCAGCTTGTTCAGAGGAAAGAAAGGTTTTGTTTAGTTAATTCAACTTTCGTTTGCCTACTATTACTGTGTGTTTATTGACCACATAGTTTCGTTTAGTTAGTTGATATGTTTAATGTGTAACTGAACAGTGGAATTTCATGTTCAAAAGTTATTGATGCCCAGCATGTATTGAGACTTTGTCCTATTTGATATTGAAATAGCTTGATTCAATACTTGTATGAAACGAAATGGGGCTGAGATGCATAGTCAATTGAAGAGCTCATTTGGTGACCCTGTTTTCGGTTTATCACGCTTATCAGCCAACCTTTTCACCAAACACGTAATTTTTGATATCACGGACATAATTGTGTAATAATGGGAAACATTAAGGTTGAAATTACTTTTTTGGCTGTATTGGGTGAAGTTAATGTAGATGATCATTTTAGCTATTTTTTCGTATAACTTTTTTTATTTTGTTAATAAAATATATTTTAAATATAGTTTTTTCATAAATCAGAAGAATCACCTAATTCAGCCACTTCAGCCAGAAAATTTCAGCAGAATCAGCCGATTTTGGCATTACTAAACGGGCTCGAACTATAGCTATGTGGTAGTAAACAAGGTCCATTGCTTTGTAATTTTATTGGTGTTGTTGCACATGGTTGAAAGAAACTTCCTAACACCAGTAAGGGTGGCTGAGTTGGTGGAGTAGATGAACTGGTGACTGAGAGGTCACAAGTTCGATTACCCTACCAACACCTTCTAGGCACAGAGACTTGCATTGTGTGGTTTATCTAGCTGCCAACCCATCTGTTGCGTTCACCCAAGGGTTTATCCATTTAACACTCGAAGCGTAGCAAGTTCCAGTCGTAAATAACAAACTTCCTAAGTCCTAACCATACAGAAAAGGGAAGTGTAACTTTGTCCAAGTATTGAATGGAGTAGCTTTAATCGGCTTATATCATAAGAATAATCAGAATAAGTAGCCTTTGACTTACTTATTTGTCTGAAATTCTTTTTTCCCATTTTTTTTCTTTAAGAAAAATCAGCCATATCTGCTAAATAGTAAATAGCCTGTAGCAAATGGCTCTTATTTGTGTTCATGTTATTGGGCTAGGAATCTACTCATGTTGTGCAGTTACATGTGGTATATCATTTTGCTCTAGTTGAGGGTTTACATTTTCTTGTATAACTGCTTAAAGCTTGTTTGGTCATATTACATGATGTGCATGTGAAGCTTACAATGTCAATCATGTAATGGGGTTTGAGGATAATAGCTGTGTCTGGCTGTCTCTTGATAGTTTCTGTGTAACCTGGAAAAACCTTTAATGACAACCTAATGCATCTCGCACAAAATTTTGCTACTATGTTTGTTTGTATAAAGTTAGTAGTCTGGGTTATTTTTTGAAAATTTGTTGACACAAGAAAATGTACACGACCAACACCAACTTTATTACAGTAATAACATACGAAGTATATGATTACTATCGCATTCATTATCAGCCCTTTTCAGTTTTCATTTTCACAAACTATGGTTCTTGTTGCATGTAGACTTGACCATATATTGCTAGAGACTACAGGTTTGGCAAACCCTGCACCCCTGGCATCTATTCTTTGGTTGGATGATCAACTCGAATCATCTGTCAAGCTTGACTCTATTATTACTGTGAGTCACTGCTGTGATATGTAAACATTAATTCTGCTCTATTGTTTCATATTCATCGCCTCCAATGCTGATAGGTTTTCCACAAACTTTGTCTTTTATGGTTTTCTTTTGCAGGTAGTTGATGCAAAAAACCTTCCTTATCAGCTGAAGACTCACCAAGAATCGTCTTTATTTCCTGAAGCATACTTGCAAATAGCATTTGCGGTATAGTAAAATTCTCCAACTACAAAGTACTCTCTTATTATTATTATTTGATGTTTATGATATAACAAAATAATTAAGGAGAATTAGTTTTTGTTGTTATATAACTTTAATGTTTTAAGTCTTGGGAGTGGCCTCTTGTCAAAATGACAAGGGAAGGCTTGCTCTTCATACACCCTTATGGTGGGACCCTTCCCCGGACTTTCGCCTTTTAGGGATGCCAATGTGCTCCTCCCTGCCTTTTTTTTACTACGTATTTTATAACTTTGGGAGAAAGCTCAAAATTGACATTAAGGTTATTTAAGAAACTCATATTAGGCACTAAACTTTTAAGTAGACCAAATTCACACAAACTATACGTTTTTACATCACATTTGGACACTCCTCATGTCAGACTTAAATGAACGGCTTTACCCCATCAATTACCAGGTTACTGTCTCTCTTCCCATTAAAAAAACGTCAGCTCCAATTTCTTCCCCGACAGAACACTAAACTTTATCAGACTCCATAGATAGCAGCCAACTTTTTTGAAAAGCTAGACCCAGCACATATACCTCCTTCCTTTTTGCCCAAAACACTGTTTTGACATGGTGGATCTGCAAGACTCATCACTTGAACTGCAATTGGAATTGGTAATGCACAAAGTGGCAGGGGAGGAATTGATTGTCCACAATGCTTCTCGTTTGTGAATTAATTCCATTTGGTCAACCGAGATTGAGGAGTTCATCCTTTTTTGGGTAATATTTCTCACCCATACTCTTATGAAACAACAGTATGTGAACTGATGGTCAAGGTATGGGTTTCCTTGATTTTGGAGGAAAATAATGGTATGGCCGTATGGTTGGACTGAATCTGGCTTAATAGAAGAATAAATGATTAAATGAAACCAGATCGAGGGAGTGAAGCTGGAGAATCCATTTGGATAGCATTAATAGCTTCCTCCAAGTACTCGATGCTGATGGAATTGTAGGCTTGGGTTCCGCGAGAAATGATTTTTCCATGAAAGAAGCTGTGGGCGGAGAAGGGCGAGACGAGTTGTGGGCAAAGAAGAGTGAGACGGGGGTGGAAGGAGAAGGGTGAGGGACCACTTGGAGGCCTCGATGGGACGGGATGAAGATGTAAATTGAAGAATGAAGATAGAGGAAAGTGAAGGTTTGGAGAAGAGAGAGTTCGTTCGGCAGTGAGGAAGCGAGAGTATTTGGCAGTGAGGAAGCGAGAGTGTTTGGCGGCGAGGAAGTGAAATTGAGATTTTGAGAAACAAGAATGGGAGTGCGGGGATGGAGTCGGCCAAGCTGGTGAAGAAACGTTGATAACGGAGGAGGCGTGGGTTGTTAACGTGGGATATATTAGACAGAAATATAAGTGGGTGGCCAAGTATACTCCAAATTAGTAGATTATGTGTTAATTTGATCCACTTAAAAGCTTAGTGTCTAATTTGAACTTCCTAAATAACCCTAATGTCATTTTTGAGCCTTATCCCTATAACTTTAATGCTCCAATCTCCCTTATATAGAGTCGGGACATTCAAAATTTATTCTGTATTTTTTTATGGAAAGAGGCTTATATTGATATCACAACATTCAGATATGGGTTAAAAAGACAAAAGACCGCTGACAACCGTCGACCCTCGAACCAGACTCAGAGTTAACCATTTTCAGAGAAGCAATATAACCTGTTGATCCATTACTAGGCGCAACTGAGCGAAAGACGGTTAAAGCAGGTCTCTCATCACCCAATCCTAATGCAAGAGTCTTACAACAATAAAAGTAACCAACAGAAAAATAAGTAGTCTGATCATGAAAAATAAATCGCAAGTAAACAGTAAAATTAAAAAGTTGCTTCCAAACCCTAGACTCTCTTGCACTCCAGTGCGGCGTTTCCGGAGGCGGACGATCCAACAGTACTGTAACTTCTTCCTCACCTTGTCTCCTATTCATCATGTTCTCTGCCAAGCCTCCTATGTCGCCGCCTAACACGAATGATCTTGAATCCAGATCTGTTCCAGCCTCTAGCCCCATGCTTCGTCCATGACCATTGGCAGCCAGAGACCAAGCATCCGTCTTCCGTGGATTTAATTCCCAGCCAAGTTTCTATTGTTGATCTGCTTATCCACCCATGTTCCTGTGGAAGTAGAGTCCTAATTGCTTCTGAAACTGGATCACTTAAAATCAAGGACATTACAGAAGATAAAACTGTTCTTGTCAAAAGACAACAACCTCGACAACCAAAGGAAATATTTTCAAGAAATTCATGCCCGGAAAAAAAGAGGTCTGGTCCAGTGGTTCATGAGGATCATGTTTATTCTTTTTATGGAGAATCTGCTATCATCTGGGGAAACCGCACACAGATTCATGACGATGACAAGTCTAGCCTGCTGAGGTATCACTTCAACTTGCAACTTTAATTGTCAAAAACTTAGCAGGTTCTTTACCTGCTGAGGTATCCAAATGGGTGCGAGGAAAGTGGGTAAAGTCTTCCGGCTATCGTACAATATTGCATCACTTAACTGAGGAGTCATTTATGCAAGTTGCAGAAGTGCAAGAAGCTGAATTGCAGCCATGGGTTGAGAGCATGGTAAGCTACCCCAAGCTTGACCTACATAATCCATTTAAAGCACCTGAAGGTTATCTAATGTTGGGAGACATCTCTGCAAAGACAGATCATAACCTATTACTTCTTGAGGTTTCTGATTCCTTCACAAGGTTATTACAATGGGTGACTCCTAAGTGATACCAGCAAGCTCTACGCGAAGTTGTTACACAAAATCTTTTAGAAAATTCCTATGGTGATCCAATCGAATTTATGGCGAGGTCTTTTGGAGTACCAGGGAATTATCTGGGACAGAACAGCCATGGTTTTCGCTGGACTTAAGGTCCTTTGGCAATTGTTACTTCCTTTAACTTTGCATTGGAGCTTCCTGTATTTCAGCTGATGGGTGCATTAGACTAGGGAAATAAGCCTATTCTTAAAGTTGACAGCAGGGTGTGCACTGTAATGGAACAAATGTTACTTATGTTTCATGATTGGGGAATACAATTGGAGATTCTTGAATTCTTAAATTCAAATAGAGAAGCACAACATAATTACTCAAGTCCTCTTAAACTTTCTTTTGACATGCGCGTGGATGAAGTTCTGTATGAGCTATTGAGTGAGAAGTTTCACTCAAGAGATAGGATGAAGTTTGAGGGACATGCAATAGTGAGGATGGTCAAGGGCTTTCAATCTAGAGGACTAGAAGTTGGGAACTTCTGGTACCGCCATCAGTGAGGTACTGGGAAGGAAGGATGCCAGGATGAAGCTGAATTCCAGGCTTGGCTCCTATCATCCCACCTTGATGACAAGGTGGTTGTTTAGGGGGAGAGATATGATAGGAATCGGGCCTATTAGGCTAATAATAGAAATAATGATAATAAGTGTACATGTAGTATATATAGCTAAGTCTGGGAAGGGGTAGTCAGGCTGTTAGACGGTTAGTCTGGAGTCTGGATTGGGAAGAATTGAGATACTCTCTCTTTCTTTGGGCTTTGGTTGTACTTAAATTCTCCATTAATGAAAGTTGTGAGTTGTTTCTTGAATTCTATTTCATCTTTTCTGTAATTTCTTCATACATGGAATAGTTATATTAACAATGCTCAAAACATCAACTAAATATAAGATGCAATATCCTAAAACATCAAGTATCAAATGAAATATTAAAAACTAAAGGAAATTTCAATCACAAATAGATAAATGGTCCACATTTTGTTGTCTCATCCGATGATCAGAAGTAGCCTTTCTCTCCCTTTCGGGTTGAGGTAAGGTCAGGGTACATCTCACCCTCCTCAAACACTACTTCCGAGTGGGATATATTGGGTTTTATCAGCTTTGTTTATTCCTTGAGAATGCAGGCGAAAACATTTTTTTCCCGCGTTTTTTTCTTTTTACATATCGAGGAATGCAGGCGATGACATACCGATCGAGGCTTGGAGAAGTTTGGGAGAGAAAGGCATCGAGTGGTTAACACGTTTTTCAACATGATTTGGAGAAACAACAACATGCCAGTGAGTTGGCAGAAGAGTGCACTCATTCCTTTATTTAAAAATAAGGGTGATGTGCAAGAATGTGCTAACTATCGAGGGATTAAGCTTATGAGTCACACCATGAAACTTTGGGAGCGAGTGGTTGAGCAAAGACCACGTAAAAATGTGAAAATTTCGGAGAATCAATTTGGTTTTATGCCTGGACGCTCAACAACTGAGGCCATTCACCTTCTTAGACAAGTTGTGGAGAAGTATAGAGACACTAAAAAGGATCTGCATTTGGTGTTCATTGACTTAGAAAAGGCATATGATAGGGTACCTCGAGAAGTTCTTTGGTGGACATTAACTAGAAAAGGCATATCACGTAAGTATATCAGCATCATCATGGATATGTATGATGCTTGTACTACAAGTGTCCGCAGTACTGTAGGGAGGACCGCAGAGTTCTCTATTACTATTGGAGTGCACCAAGGATCTGCTCTGAGTCCTTTCTTATTTGCTTTAGTCATGGATGAACTTACGAAGTCAATTCAAGAAGATATACCGTGGTGCATGATGTTTGCCGACGATATTGTATTGATTGATGAGACACAATTCGGTGTTAAAGCAAAGTTGGAAGTATGACGACAAACATTGGAGAGCAAGGGTTTCAAACTGAGCCAAAGCAAAACTGAGTATATGGAGTGCAAGTTCGGTGGAGGTAGAAGCGGTAGCAATAGTGGGATTACTCTTGATGGTAAGGAGATACCGGTGTGTGATATGTTCCGTTACTTGGGATCCATAATTCAGAAAGATGGTGAATTAGATGGAGATGTATGTCATAGAATCAGAGCTGGGTGGATGAAATGGAAAAATGCTTCAGGATTTCTATGCGATCGAGGTATGCCGACTAAACTGAAAGGTAAATTTTATCGTACGGCAATTAGGCCGGCATTAATGTATGGCGTAGAGTGTTGGGCAGTGAAGCAATGCCACATTCAAAAGATGAGTGTGACAGAGATGCGTATGTTGCGTTGGATGTGTGAACATACCAGAAAAGACCGCCTGAGGAATGAGGTAATCAGACAAAAGGTGGGAGTAGCACCTATAGAAGATAAGATGCAGGAGTCTCGTTTGCGGTGATTTGGGCATGTGCATAGAAGACCGAGTGATGCACCTGTTAGACGACTTGAGGGGTGGGGAGAAGAGTCAGAGAAGAGAGGGAGGGGAAGACCCAAACAGACTTGGATTAGAGTAATCAGAACTGATATGCGTCTTCTTGGGTTGGATGAGAGTATGACTTTGATCCATGTGGACGATTGATGTCTTGTCTACCTTTCCTCTCTTGTTTCTTTTATCGTTTATCTTCCTTATCTTTTTATATTCTTATGTTATTTTTATCTTCTAGCTTTTTTATGCTCTTTTATTTATTTTTCTTTTATCTTGGTTATATTCTTGTGTTATTGTTATCTTATATTTATGTATCTTTATTTTATTCATTTTATCTTTTTTTTCCTTGTCTTGTCTGCCTTCTCTTTTTGGCATCGATATCATAGATCGATTCATGTTAGCCGACCCCAAATTCTTTTGGGATTAAGGCTTGGATGTTGTTGTTGTTGTTGTTTTCTTTTTACAGGATGTTGTGATTCTAAACAAGGTTGATCTGGTTTCTCAAGATGGTTCTGGATCAATTCTAGATGAACTGGAGAAGGATATCCATGATATCAACTCCCTTGCCAATATAATTCATTCTGTTCGTTGTGAGGTCAACCTGTCCAAAATATTGAATTGCCATGCATATGATCTGACAGTATGTCGACAGTGCTTCTGCATATATTTCTATTCCGTGAAAATAGCATGTTGTATTGACAACTATTTTTGACATCATGGTCTTGTTCAGCATGTAACTCACTTGGAAGCGCTATTGGAAGCAAATAAATCTCTAACTACCCGAGATCTTCATGATATTGGCATTAGAACATTATGCATTTGCGAGTCTCAACATATCAATCTAGATAAGGTACTCCAGAATTCAATTCAGATTGCTCTTATGATAATACCGTAATAATAATCATTAAAATAATAATAATAGTAGTAGTAAAGATAATAATCATAGTAGTTTTACTTTTAAGAGGTCATAACTAACTGCACTTGACATTGAGCTTGCTGGTTGGGAAAATTGACTTGTTCTGAGCAGAATAGACTGAATACTCTGAATAAGTAGTTTTTGACTTATCTGGCTAGGTACCAAACACTTTTCCTTATGAAAATAAGCCAAATAGACTTTACCAAAAGGTCTCTTTGGGTGTAGGAATTGGAGCATTAACAATGTAGCAGGTTTTACTATTTTAGCCTTAGCTATTTCTTGTTTTCCTAGAAAAACAGAGTACAAATGATCCTCATCCTTTTTTCTTCTTGTACCAAAAGGTTCGTGTATGGATTGAGGAACTCCTTTGGGACAAAAAGCATGAGATGAACATCTATCGCTGCAAGGGAATTTTAAGGGTCATTAACTCAGATAATTTACATACTCTTCAAGTAATTCATTACAAGCTCTTGTTTTATCCTCCAAACCCGCTTCAATATTTCAATTATTGTATCTAATCTTTATCACATGAAGTTTCCAAGAGCGTGGAGAATCGTCTCAATTTTGGACATACTAACCTATGCCATTTTCTGATTTACTTGTCAGGGTGTGAGAGAGATATATGAGATTCTTCCATCACGTGAATGGAGAAAAGGAGAAAATCAAATGAACAAAATAGTTTTCATTGGTAAATAAATTTTTTATTTTGACAAGTTTATGTACATTTTCTTGCTCCATCCTTTATTTTATATCGTATATATTTTTGTGCAGGCAAATCGTTAAAGGAAGATATTTTGCTGAATTCTTTAAGAGCTTGTGTAGAGGAAACCTCAAATTGAGCAGATTGTATTGGCTTCTTGGCATCATTTTATACCTGTACTATGCTGTAAAAAACAATCAACTCCTATATACGAAGTAAGTTATAAGCTTCTTGTTGTGTTCATTTTGGCTGCCTTTGTTTCATGTGATGTTTTAGGACTGTTGAGATCACAATTAGTTACTGCAACAAAAATAATTGGGCATTCTTTTCAAAGTTTCAACACAAGTTAAAAAAATTGAACCGAAATCGCACCGACTCAAACGGGACCCGAAAGTTGGGACTCGAACATAAATCGGTTCAATGAAGGTTTTTTGAGTTATAAAATCGGTTCAAACCGAACCGAACTGATTTTTTTTAAGAGGTATTTTTAATTAATTATTTTGTAGAACAAATAGGTAATATAAAGCTTGTACGTCTTTATTTCAACAATTAGTTGATTCGGTCCAATGGGTTGATGTTTAGAGATCAACGTGCATGATTTTATTTTCACCTGGGTTCGAATCCCGCATGCCTCGCTTCTTATCTTTTTAGTTTCTCTAAAGCTTAAGATTCCCACACCAGTGAAAACGGAAGATTTAGTACTCCTTCGTTCCTATATATACGCTCCACCTCTAAGTAATACTACTCCCTCCGTCCCAAATTGTTTTGCAAAGTCAACATTTTTTGGTCAACTAATAAAAAAAGTCAATGCTCCCTATCGATAATTAATTCAATTTGTAATAATTAAAATTTATATATTCAGAAACTATATTAATATCCCTTCAAAGTTGTAAATTTCAAATTAGAATATTATTAAAAATTGACATCCTAATTAAGCAAATAAAATGAAATTGTTTGACCAGAAAAAGTTAAATTTGCAAATCAATTTGAGTCCTTCCAATTTATTGGGCCCTGTGCGATTGGACACCCTACACACCCTCAGGGCCGGCCTTGGGCACAAGTCCCATCTTTCCATGCCTTAACCTTTTTACTTGAGCAACATTGCCCTTCAATGCAAAAATGAAAAAGAAAGGCAGCGACTTCTAACTAAATACACTACCATATTTTTATGTATAGAAACTCTAAACATTTTAAAAGGGATGTTTATTTGATGAGAATTTCATACTCCCTCCGGTCCTTATTAAACTTTACAGTTTGACTTCACTCATATTAAGGAAACAAATTTGACTTTACTGGAGAGTACATTGTTTGACATTGTTTGACACTGTTTGTGTAGATTTGTTTGCCAAATAAGGCAAATAAGGATGTGTAAAGTTTAACATGGGACGCCCCAAAAAAGAAAGTGTAAAGTTAATTAAGAACCGGAGGGAGTATATAAGTATGCCTTACAGCCAATAATGAATAAACTCGAACTTCAGAAAAGGTATAGTTCTCCAATAATTAACTCTATATGGTGATAGAAAGTGTAGAATGTGTAAAATTATTGGCAAAGTGAACTGAACTGATGTAGTCTACAATGGATGAGTTGATTTAAACATTTCAGAATAGTTGGACTTTCAAATGTTGTCTACACACTGGAATTGATTCGAGAATATAGCATTACATAGGAAACAAATTTCACGAAAAGTGACAATTTTTATTTGGACATCATACCCGAAATATGTGGAGTGAATTTATAGCGATGATCACTAAGGGTATGTTTGGAAGTTTGAAGGGAAGGGGAGGGGAAGACTTTGGAGGTATGTTGTTGGAGGAGAAAGGGAGGGGAGGGTGAGGATACACTTCTTTGTATTTGGGAGTAATAAAATTGGTAGAAGATGGTTTTTGAAAGAATTATATTTAAAATCACCTTTAGATATGATGAATTCAAATCATTGAGCTGATATTCATTTTTAATTTAGCTTAAATTACCATCTTGTTAATTATCCACCAAAACCCTCCAAATTGGGGGAACTTAAAAATTAAGCATTTGTAGGGTTTTGAAGGGTTGCAAAAACTCTCCAAAACCATCTCATTCAATTTTTTAAACTCCCAAACATGAAAAAGAGAGTCATAAGCCCCCATTAACCTTCCCCTCCCCTCCAAAACCCAACTCCCAAACACACCCTAAGGGCTGAAATGTGGCTTAGTTTTCTCTCAAAAAAAAGAAAAGAAAAAGAAATGTGGCTTAGTTATCCTGACAGAGTTTGTTTTCTGAGAGCAACCAAATGTCAAATAATGAAAAGGGTTTGTAACCTACGTAATTAATGTGGAGTGAATTGACTATGAATAATGAAAAAAACTGTCCAATGCAATAGTCCTACGGCCCGGCCCATTAGAACTGCCATGTGGAATTAATAATTTATATATATTAAAGTTAAATAAATGTAAACTACTCTATTTCATGTTGAATCATTCAAATAAAAGTTGATAGCAGGCGAATGACGTTCTTGTATTTGTTTTGTTTTTTTAAATAATATGAAAAGAAAATTAAATTCCAATTTTATTTGATTCCTTCTGTACGTAAAAAATATATTATTGAAATCCTGAGATTGAAACACACAATTCAATCTAGGTTTGGCTTGAGCAACCATTTTTTAAAAAAGCCTTCAAGGCATCTCAGAATATATTATTATCTAGGAAATTACAACTCACTGATTACGAGATTCAAACATGTATAATACTCTTGTTGTTTTAAACTTTGATGCATTGTTTGAATTGGTAAGTTCTTTTTTATACGTAGTATGAGTTATGTTGATTGATATATCTATATGACTAGATAGCTTTTTTGTCTTAAAGCAATGGTGTTTTTTAATGTATGATATGTATTTTGATCCTACATTTTCTCTCTTTAATTTGATTATTACTCATATAAAGTTATATATGTTAAAATTTGCTAGGCATATATTATTAATCTATAATTGTCTTTCTTAGTTTTTATTCATTTATTCTTCTACAATAAGAGTCACGATCTGAATTTGTTTTATTAACAGACCTGGATTGGAGGATATGGTTTCACATAATTTTGATTCAGACTCGAATAGTTCATCTTCAAGTGATAATGAACTCTCACTTACCAAACAGTTGTTGCATGAGTTAAGTGATTCCCCTAACAAAAGAAATAATTCAAATGTTCCCTTCATTATTTCTTCAATGTTGACTGCTACTAAATGCCATCTTGACAGCTCAACATCTGGTAGATGTTATATTTGTCGTGATAGGAAGTTGCGTCATGATACAATAGTTAATGATTACTTCAAAGGTGAAAATTTAAAGTACACTTCAGAACTTTTTCGTCGTACATTTAGAATGGATATTGAATTATTCACTCGAATATTACAAGATATTGAGAACAATGATGGTTATTTTCAACAAAAGATTGATGCTGTTGGAAATATTGGCCTGAGTCCGCTTCAAAAGGTGGTAGCAGCAATACGCATGCTTGCATATGGTTGTCCGGCTGATTTTCTTGATGAATATGTTCAAATTGGAGAAAGTACCGCGATTTCAAGCTTGAAACATTTTTGTGATGCTATTATACGACTCTATGAAGAGCGTTATTTGAGGAAACCAAACGAGGATGATATTAGAGTTCTTCTAAAAGAAGGTGAGGCCCGAGGATTTCCCGGTATGCTTGGTAGCTTAGATTGTATGCATTGACAATGGAAAAATTGCCCCACTGCTTGGCATGACACTCATACTAATGGTTTTAAAAGAGTTCCCACTCTTATTTTAGAAGTTGTAGCTTCACAAAGTTTATGGATTTGACGTGCTTTCTTTGGAATGGCCGGTAGTAACAATGACGTTACTGTTTTGGATAGATCGCCTTTATTTGATGATATAATTAATGGTGCTGCTCCAACATGTAAATTCATAGTTCAGGGCCATGAGTATACTATGGGTTATTATTTAGCTGATGGGATATATCCGCAGTATGCTACTCTCATCCAAACGATATCTTAGCCTTCATCTATCAAGGAAAAATTATTTGCGAAAAACAAGAATCCGTGCGAAAGGATGTAGAGAGAGCATTTGGCATGTTACAAAGTCGATGACATATTATCAAAGGCCCTGCTCATCTTTGGAGTGCTAAAAACTTAGGAAAAATAATGAAGACATGCATCATCTTACATAATATGATTATTGAAAATGAGTGCGGTCAAGACATCGATCCTGAGGATTGGAAGGTCGAAGGAGATGAGTCTAGTGAAAGTGTTACTCTAGAGCATGATTTTATCTTGATCATATCAATGATGATTAATAGAACAAAACAAGTCCAAAATAAATGGTTACATAGGGATTTGAAGAATGACCTCATCAATCATGTGTGGGAAGTATATGGTGATCAAGTTTTGGATGACTAGTTTATTTTTAATACGTACTACTAGTTATTGGGAATGATGTAATTCTGTGTTTTTTCATTTATTGAACAATCATTCAATTTTTCTTGCCATGTAACGATCTTAGTATTTTCCATCATTTGCAATGGAGCCAAAGATTCATTATTTTTTGGTTTGAGATTATGATGGAATAAAGCAAAATGGCTCACTACACTGTTTGCGCTTCTTTGTTATGAAGCACCAGTCAGTCCATGCAATTTTGGACGCGATTTTCATTATTGGTCATCCGGAAACAGTCTCTCTGTGTTTTAGTGCAGGGGTAAGACTGCGTACATCCGAGCCCCCTTACCCCACCGTAGGTGGGAGCCTTTGCGGCACTGGGGTAAATGAAAATGAATGAAAATGAATGTAACGATCTTAATATATGTACTGGGCTATTGATAGTTGACCATATCATATAGGTCTGGTTACATATACCTTTTATAGAATCACCTGATCAAATTTATTTGTTAGCATCACCTCTGCCACTGCATTTGTGATGCACATATCCTCCAACCACATTTTCAACTTCTTAATACATTTCATTTTGAAAATAAAAATACGGGAGTATTAAATATTTGTCTGAATGGAAGTCATTCTGTCTGCTGCATATCCCTAGAGCAGTGGAGCCAGAGACCTTAGAATGTTAACAAAAAAAAAATACAGAGCAATACATTTGCCCAAGGTGGCTTTGTATCTCAAGTTAGCATATGAATAAGGCTCTACAAACTTATCCTCAAAATAATCTTAATAAAAGATAAATCAATAGTTTATTTCTGAACCAACAAAGTTCACATATTCCTAACAAATATGTAATCCAACCATCTATATCACTACTGACATATAAACTCTCAGAAAATCCAATAACAAATAGGAAGAAAAAAAAGTCAATGACTTTCAACTCACAAAAGCATTAATTAATATAATTGCAGTTTACTTAGATTATAAAAAAGTTGCCACTTTCCCACTCCTTGAGTATTTGGTCCTGTAAAATTTCGTATGAAGATCGCGCAATAGGTGATAGCCTACTCAAATCAAGATTCATAATGCGTTCTTGATCGAATCTTTTTTGGGCTCTCTCTCTCAGCTCTTGCTCCTTGAGCCTCATCTCTTGCTCCTTCAACTTCAATAGATGAGATTCTTCCTTCAGTTTTTTATTGTGCTCTTTTAACTCTATCTCTCTTTTCATCACTTGCTCTCTAAATGCACTCTTTTTGTTGGTGTTCCTTCTTTAACTCCAACTCTGTTGCATTAAGCTCAATCTGCTTATCTGTGCTCAATCTGTTGTAATTTACTTAGAGTTTCTATCACTCCATTATCTGTGCTCAACTTCCGCTTTCTTTCTTGCAACTTTTCCTTCCTTGTGGACGAATAATTTCATCGCATTTCACTTGTTCAGGTTGTTAGTATATATGTCCTAGCGACAATCATTTTTTTTAGAGACATATGTACTTGATCACATTTAGTTTTTATATTTGATATATACATGGTACTACACTTTATGAATGATTATTTTCGATTGCCAATATCTTATTCATAATTGTGTTCCCTTGGACTTATGTTGTCAATAAGTAAGTGAGAGCTTATATGATATAACATAAGGTCCTAAAATAGCCCCAATCAATGATCATCAAGAATGCGATATTGATGATATGCGATAAGATTGGTATGTGGACGGAATCATACTTTTAGAAAGTATAGTTGATCTCACAACTATGAGTTCCTGCAATTCATGATGGTCACATAGATATTTTAGAGAATATTGGCATACCCACAAGGAAACCATTTGATAAGTTCTATTCATGTGTCTATGGGGTTATCGGCGTATAGAGTAGTGTAATAGTCCTCAGACTTGAGGTCAATACGTACTACATGTGCGGAGTGATGTACTTTGACCATGACCAACGCTTGCACTCCAATCGGGGTAGATACGGCATGTGTTGGGTGCATCACGAAGCACACGGAGTAATAGTTGTGCCAAGAAAGGATTCATTCCTCATAATAGATTAAGAGAGAACATTCTACTTCTCATATCTAGATGTATCATAAAGTCATTGGCCAATGCAAAGATATATTCATTTTGGATATCGAATATGATCGTTATGGATCATGTAGAAAGATTGAGATACAGAGACTGAGTTATTGGAATAAACACAATATCATGTTCTAGACTTAGTTGAATGTTCGTTGAATGAAAGGACCGTATCACTATGAGCTCTATATTACAGGGAGTTTGAATAGTCATCACAAACGTCCTTATATATTAAGTTTGTCTGGTAAATCGTCTAGTGATTCTACTAAGATCTTAGTTTGATTAGTGCTTAATATATAAGGTCCTATGGGTCACACAACAAGTGATTATACCTTCCGATTGAATTGTTAGAAGGAATTAAATATTAATTGGAATAAATAATATTTAATTCATAATACTGGAAATGGATTAAATATAAATTAGATTAAACATATTTAATTCGTGATGTTGAAGGGGAGTTCTATTTGATAGAATAAATTAAGTGTGATAAATTAGATTTATTATACTTAATTAAGATGTATTTATAATTAAATAAAGTTAGTATTTTCTTGAGTACAATTTGGAATTAAAATGCATTCAAGAAATGCAAATAAAATAATAATATATGTACATCAAGGGAATGAGGTTTTGAATTCCCCATTCCCATTTAGTATGTACGTACCATGTATATTATTATTATTATTATTATTATTATCATCATCATCATCATCATCATCATCATCATCATCATCATCATCATCATCATCATCATCATCATCATCATCATCATCATCATCATCATCATCATCATCATCATCATCATCATCATCATCATCATCATCATCATCATCATCATCATTATTATTATTATTATTATTATATCTTTATTTAATTAATAATGAGTATTGGTCCTAGTTGGACTAGAACTCAGTAATGAGAAAGACTTTCATTGTGATTGGGAAACTAGTTTAGAACTAGTATAAATACATCCTCCTCCATAATTTATAGACCAGTTTTCAGATTCAGTATTACCAGTTTATTTCCCAAACAGATCTTCCCTGATTATGACAAAACAACGAATATAACAATAATAACAGATCTGAGTTAGAACTTACAGATCTTCCAGCGTAGCGGTGATAATCATTGACCTTTGGTATCCACGTGATTTCTCCTTTCCGAAAGAACGGTTAGATCTCCCTAAGAGAAAGGCTAGGAAATCTCTTCACATGAAAATAAACTGATAATACTGAATCTGAAAAACTGGTCTATAAATTATGAAGGAGGGGGATGTATTTATACTAGTTCTAAACTAGTTTCCCAATCACAATGAAAGTCTTTCTCATTACTGAGTTCTAGTCCAACTAGGACCAATACTCATTATTAATTAAATAAAGATATAATAATAATATACATGGTACGATCTTTCTAGATGATCCATAACGATCATCTAGATAAATTATGTCTCTATATAATATAATAAATTATGCAATAACTTAGTTTCTGTCTCTCAATCTTTCTAGATGATCCATAACGATCATATTCGATATCCAAAACGAATATATATATATATATATATATATATATATATATATATATATATATATATATATATATATATATATATATATATATTGCATCAGCCAATGACTTTATGATCCATCTAGATATGAGAAGTAGAATGTTCTCTCTTAATCTATTACGAGTAATGAATCCTTTCTTGGCTCAACCATTACTCCATGTGCTTCGTGATGCACCCAACACATGCCGTATCTACCCTGATTGGAGTGCAAGTGTTGGTCATGGTCAAAGTACATCACTCCGCACATGTAGTACGTATTGACCTCAAGTAGGAGGACTATTACACTACACTATACGTCGATAATCCCATAGACACATGAATAGAACTTATCAAATGGTTGTGACCATCATGAATTGCAGGAACTCATAGTTGTGAGAATAAGTGAGATCAACTATACTTTCTAAAAGTATGATTCCGTCCACATACCAATCTTATCGCATATCATCAATATCCCATTCTTGATGATCATTGATTGGGGCTATTTTAGGACCTTATATTATATCATATAAGCTCCCACTTACTTATTGACAACATAAGTCCAAGGGAACACAATTATGAATAAGATATTGGCAATCGAAAACAATCATTCATAAAGTGTAATACCATCTATATATCATATATAAAAACTAAATGTGATCAAGTACGAATGTCTCTAAAAAAATGAATGTCGTTAGGACATATATACTAACAATCTCCCACTTGGCCTAGTGTCAATCACCAATGCGTCTAACACCTAGATTATCAAAATGTCTAGTATGTTTCTCGCAGCTCAAAGGTTTGGTGAAGGGATCAGCCAAATTGTCCTCAGTGGAAACACGTTCTATTGCAACCTCTACTCTTGCTATCTGCTCTCGAATCACATGATAGCTCCTCGGCACATGTCCATTCCTCTTGTCGCATCTTGGTTCCTTTGCTTGTGCAACAGCACCAGTATTGTCACAATAAACGGTTATTGGACGACTGTCATTTGGAACAACCCCTAATTCTTTGAGGAATTCACGTATCCATACGACCACTTTAGCTGCTTCTGATGCAGCAATGTACTCGGCTTCTGTTGTCGAATCAGCCGTAGTGTCTTGCTTGTAACTCTTCCAGTCTACTGTTGCTCCATTGATATTAAAAACATATGCTGATTGTGACTTATAGTCGTCCTTATCTGTCATGAAGCTAGCGTCAGAGTAACAAGATGCTATTAGTTCCTCTTGTCCACCATAAACCAAGAAATATTCTTTAGTTAGTCTAAGATACTTAAGAATAGTCTTAACAGCACTCCAATGCCGTTCTCCTGGATTATTTTGATATCGACCAACAATACCAAGCGCATAAGCCACATCTGGCCTAGTACAGATCATAGCATACATGATTGAACCAATTGCAGAAGCATATGGAATCCCTCTCATGCGTTTGATCTCATCATCAGTTGAAGGACTATCATTCTTTGATAACGATATCCCATGACCCATCGAGAGGAATCCTTTCTTAGATTCTTCAATTTTAAATTGATGTAGTATTTTGTCAATATACGTGGATTGTGAAAGACCCAACATCCTGTTAACTCTGCCTATAGATATTAATCCCAAGGA